ATAGATCCCAGAGGAAAAATCCCAGAGGGAAAAATCCCAGAGGAAAAAATCCCAGAGGAAAAATCCATAGATATTCCAACATCTACTGCACACGTAAAAGTGAATCACGTGAATCGAATACAGCGGATAACGCGAATAAGTATACATGGTATCCGAAATACGCATCGACCATGACACCCCGTTTTCACGATAAACGAAGTGAACTCTCCTCATGAACATAATGATAACCCGCGTGTTGATGAAAGCTGTACAAATCGTTGCAATGCAATTACTTAAGTAGTTGTATTTGCTTGGTACTGCAAATGCCTTGGGCCCCGAGGCTTAAGGTGGTCATAAACGAATCCTAGTCTTCAACGAATCCTAGTCTAGTCAGCTAGAGACTGTGCCGATAAATATTAAGCGCTACCGCTCTCACTGCCTTCATCGCCCTCGCTGCCTTCGAACTCCTCCAAGAAGCGCTCGCCGTCGACACTCGCGCTGCCTTCATCCTCAGCACTCTCGCTGCCCTCCACCTCGGCCAAGAAGCGCTCGCCTTCGGTGCTGTCACTGCCCTCATCCTCAGCACTCTCGCTACCCTCCGCATCGACTTCGGTCAGGAAGCGTTCGCTATCAAGACTCGCACTGCTGTCATCGGCCTCAGAACCCTCGCTTCCTTCGACTTCAAGTAGGAAGCGCTCACCGTCAAAGCTCTCGCTGCTGTCATCGGTCTCGGCGCTCTCACTGCCCTCGGCCTCCTGCAAGAAGCGCTCGCCGTCGACACTGTTGCTGCTGGTGTCGACGTCTGCGCTCTCACTGCCCTCGACTTCCTGGAGGAACCGCTCACCATCGACGCTTTCGCTTCCCTCGTCGTCACCGGCACTTTCGTCGCTGCCGTCGATCTCCTGCAGGAACCGTTCTCCGTCGACGCTCTCACTGCCCTCGTCGTCACCGGCACTTTCGTCGCTGCCGTCGATCTCCTGCAGGAACCGTTCGCCGTCAAGGCTCTCACTTCCCTCGTCAGTCGCTGCGCTGTCGTCACCGCTGTCAACTGCCTGCAGGAAGCGTTCGCCGGCGAAGCTCTCACTTCCCTCATCATCGGCGGCACTATCGTCACCGCTCTCCACTTCCAGCAGGAACCGCTCGCCGTCAAGACTCTCGCTGCCCTCCGCATCAACGTCGGTGTCGGCGCTCTCGCTCCCCTCCATCTCGAACAGGAAGCGCTCGCCCGCACCGCTGTCGCTGGCGTCCGTGCTGGCGTCGAAGCTGCCCAGGAAACTGTCGGCGTCGACCGATCGGAGGCTGGCGGCGTTGACACCATCGAAGGTGGCGAGTGCCAGCGCGGCGGCGGCGGCGAAGCTGAGGATGATGTTCAACTTGGTCATGGTTGCTGGTGGTGGCTGGGTGAAGTCGAGGGTGTCGAGGGAAGGTCGGGCGGAGGTGTTTTCGGTCCAGGGGAAAATTGGAAGTGATCGATTGCATTCGATCCAGAGCTAGAGACTGTAAAACCAACGGCATTTTTCTGCTTGGTGTCCGATACGCTGTATATAGCGGTGCTTACTTGGCTATTCTGTCATGGGAAAGAGCCGACAACGTTTCGCTTCAGATTCGCCACAACTTGCATCTCAGGTGTACGCAAATAGCCGTTGAAAAGTGTAAAGGAATCCATGATTCGTAGAATAAGGTGGAAATCGATAACGTTTTAGGCTTGCCCAATCGCCAATGCGAGTTTCCAATATACGATTCGTCAAGTAGATTGTAGCTGATTTTTTTCTATCGGTCGTCTGGCTAAAGATGAAGAGATATTGGTGATCTGTGTGTCGGCTGCCAGCTACGTTTGGTACAGTCCAGCGATAGAAACAGTCACAGGACTGATGGGCTATCATCGCCAGAATTTGAGCTAAGCTTAGAGCTATTTTCGATGGTGTTAGTGGCGCCTATTCCCGGACACGGGACGTGTCTGGGAAGGTGAGTGGCGACAGCCCTGTGGGCGTGTTGATGTGCATCGCGGCTGATAATTTCGAGAACTCTTGTTCCTCTTTTCGTGATGGGAAGGTTCGGTACGCTAGATCTCCACTCTTCCTGAACCATCGCAGTGGGACTCCACTATACAGCAAAACCGTAGCTGGATTAGTTTGGCAAAACGCTACCCCACGCTCGCCTCTATCGTTGTAAAACCAACCAAGCCAGGATACCTCCAGCACTCATCACTCAATTTGCCAACAACACAGCAAACACCTCACCCCCCACAACCAACCACCAGCAACCATGACCAAGTTGAACATCATCCTCAGCTTCGCCGCCGCCGCCGCGCTGGCACTCGCCACCTTCGATGGTGTCAACGCCGCCAGCCTCCGATCGGTCGACGCCGACAGTTTCCTGGGCAGCTTCGACGCCAGCACGGACGCCAGCGACAGCGGTGCGGGCGAGCGCTTCCTGTTCGAGATGGAGGGGAGTGAGAGCGCCGACACCGACGTTGATGCGGAGGGCAGCGAGAGTCTTGACGGCGAGCGGTTCCTGATGGAAGTGGACAGCAGCGACGATAGTGCCGCTGACGACCAGGGTAGTGAGAGCCTTGATGGCGAACGCTTCCTACAGGCAGTTGACAGCGGTGATGACAGCGCGGCGACTGACGGGGGAAGCGATAGCTTTGACGGTGAGCGGTTCCTGCAGGAGGTCGACGGCAGCGACGATAGTGCAGCAGATGACGAAGGCAGTGAGAGCGTCGACAGTGTCCGATTCCTTCAGGAAATCGAGGGTAGTGAGAGTGCAGACGTCGACACCAGCAGCGACAGTGTTGACGGCGAGCGATTCTTGCAGGAAGTCGAGGGCAGCGAGAGCGCCGAGGCCGACGACAACAGTGCAAGCCTTGATACCGAGCGCTTCCTGGTTGAAATGGAGGGTAGCGAGAGCGCTGAGGACGAAAGCAGCACGAGTGCTGATGAAGAGCGCTTCTTAGAGGAGGTCGAAGGCAGCGAGAGTACCGAGGGCAGCGAGGGATCGTTGTAAGTGAGTAGGCGTCTAGCTAGACGTATAAAGAGTATGCTCCTGACAACAGGTAGCTGCGACGTATAATCGCCTTTGGCGAGCAACACATTCAATCCAGGCAATTTATTTTAAAATAATGCATACCTTACTCCACTAGTGGGATCTCCTCTTGCTTGCTGCTGTAGTGGTGCTCATGCCACACTGATTCCAAGCACTGGAAGTTTTCTTTTTTATATTACATGGGCACTTCTCATAGCATGATAGTGGCTTGACCGCTTTCGAGTATTTCCTACACGTAACAACATGGCGTAAGTGCACTACAAAATATTCTGCGTATCTCAACCAGTT